CAATGTTTGTAGTTGAGGACTTAGGGCCCTGAGACTCATAACGAACAGAATCTATTTTCATATATCCCTTGCAGCTTGTCTTGTCAGGTGTTGCGAAGAACACTACAGTGCAGAGTAGGGTTCAGGGTTTGGGGATTCGTCGAGGATTTAGGGCTCGCGGAGTACAAGTGAGGGCTTGAGGATGAGGGTTGTGGGCTTGGGGATCTGCCGGCGCTAGTCATCGCAGAAGAAAGAGAAACAGCTTACTGATGCCTTCAAGGGGGAGGCATAGCCAAACTAGTCCGCAAAAAACGGCAAAACCTGCGATCCAAACCCCAAATCTGAAAATCCTAAACCCCAAACCCTCCAAAACCCCAAGCCTCAAAAGCAATGCAAACGCTGCACCTGTTGACTTCGGAAGTTGCAAGGGCTTCAGTCAGATCGTCAGTCTGGTTCGTCAGCCGCCAAAGTTCCCGCCATCGGAACGCCGAATCCTCGCATGTCCTGGGTGGTTTAGGAAGTCTAGGGCCGGTGGAGGGCATATAGGGTTTAGGGTCGTTTAGGGTCTTAAGGCCCTGGTTCCCCGTTGCATGTCCTGGGTGGTTTACATGGGGCTCAGGGCCGGTGGAGGGCATATAGGGCTTTTAGGGTATAGAGTCTAGGCTGCTCGTGAGGCCCTAAGGGTCTTGTCCTACGTCTCTTCTGCGGGGTCTTATTTAGAGGGCTCCGTTTTGGATGTCTGGGGCGGTGCGTTTTTCGGTACGCGTAGAAAACCCAGGACTCTTTTGAGACCTCCAGGAGGAGGCCCAAGGGCTCCCTTATAGGGTTTAGGAGTTTAGGGCTGCTAGGGTTTATAGGGTTTAGGGTTTAGGGTTTAGGGATTCCAGAACCTAGCACGGAGACACCGAGGACCTTGAGGCGAAGCTTAAAAACTGTTCTCACTACATTGTAAGAGAGAGTATATACACCGGGAAAGTGTCTTTGTCTATCTGTTTGTGCTTTTTTTGAAAATTCAAGAACTCCATGGTGTACGCCCTGTGTGTTTCTCTACTTGCTCACATGTGTACTTTTGAGTGTGCTAGTTGTTGCTTCTGCTCGCTTTACATGGCCCTGAACCCTAAACCCTAACCCTCTACCCTAAGCCCTAAAGCTAACATGCCTGGGCCAGAGCGGCCTGGTCTCTGTTGCTCCACTAGTGTGTCAAGCCATGGGGTCGGTTGTGGAGCTCTTTTACACCATGGTTCTAGCACTGGGAAATGTCATTACTAGCTGTTCACCCCTGGATCAAGGCTTTGGGGTGTAAGGGCTGAATGACATGCCGCCGGAAAGCGTTGCTGAATCAAACCACCCAAGACTCCGAAAACCCATGATTTGGGGTTTAGGGTTTAGGGTTGCTTACGGTTGCACAGTTTTGGAGTCTTCGCGGCTGATGATCAATCACTACTCGTGCAGAAACGGTAGTTTCAAAGATAAGATTATGATAACCCGAACAATCAAAGGACCACTTGTAGTCGAGTTCCCTGAGCACGAGGCCCTGCACCCGCCACCCCAAATTGAAGCCTGACAGCCTTCATTAGAGCCCGCAAGACCACATGAACACGAGTCCCGTACTTGATGTATAAAGACAGCTGTAGGGCGAATTCTAGACAAGCTCCTCAAAACTCAAACCCTCAATCTCTTGGAGAACCCAAACACAAAAATAAAGCAGGGATGCCTGGAAATTCTGATGATATCCTACAGCTCCGAAGCCCCGTCATAGGAAAACTTCTCCTAGGGCGTTCCACAAAGTCTTCTGCAGCTAGTCATATTGTATATTCTCGGTCATGCTTCACATAATCTCATGATATCTAAGGTATGTGTTCCTCTTAAGGTGTACAGTGAACCCCAGAAAGTTGGAACATGCGTTTAGGATGACTAGTGTTGGAATCCCCTCTACTTTGCCATAAGGCCATGAGGATAATGACGTTCCAACTTTCTGGCTTTTACTGTATAGGGTTTACAGTATAGGGCATAGGGCTTCTCAACATCATCTAAAGAAAATTTCTTCGAGCCAACGACTCCTGGGTTTCCCGGGTACTCAAAGGCAGGGCCAGGGTTTGCGGTCCTAAACCCTAAGCCCCTAAACTCTTAAACCCCTAAACCCCTAAAACCCTGAAACCGTAACCCCCTAAACCCTAAACCCCTGAACCCGAAACACACGAGCCCTAAGCACAACACGCCCATGGAGCGTAAGAAAGTGTAGGGTTTAAGGCGAAGGAAGGTTTAAGAAGAAGGAAACCCACCCTCTCAAAGATCCTATATACATACTATGCAGGTCTCCACCAGCAACTTCAAACACCCAGAAACCATAAATCCCTAACGCTTAAACTACGCATTTCTTGAAGAACGTGCCCTAAGCACGAAAGCCCTATCTCCTCTTAAAAGGTAAACATAGAACCCTCAACAGGAGCAGAACCTGAGGTTCTCAGAAAACTATCCTAAGAAGGGCCTCGTCCTGCTAGCTAAATCAAATAACGGTGCAAATTCAAAAATTAAAGCAAAACCCCAAATCAACACACTCAGCTAAGTTGGCCCTAAACCCCAAACCCTAAAGAGAGGTGGCCTGTTCAAGCTGCCGGGCCATGGATTCTTTGCACAGCAAAGAGTGGAAACTCTCAGAGCAGCGCGCCGATACTTTCAGAGCTTTTGAGCCAGCGGGGTGTATGATTGCGCTTGACGCTTGACGGTCAGGGTTTCGGGCTAAGGGTTCAGAGTTGCAGAGTGGCGCGTATTTCTCGGTATTCTAAAGGTTTTCACACGAGTATTTACACCTACAGGACCTGAAGCATTTATTGCCTTGTCCAGACACTACAGCAGAGAGAATTGATCCACTTTTCCCATTTTGGAATGACTTAAGACTTGTCTGCGATATCGAACAAACTTCTATAGATGCAATCGCAAGAAACGTTCGAAAGAGGTCTGCGGTCGAGGACGAAGGGTATGGCCTCGGGATGCCACTTGAAAGCGAAAACAAGAACACACGAAAATGCAAGCAACCAGGCCGTGATGCTCTGTAGAGTTTAAGATTATTTGAGCTCCTTTTTATGCCTGCCCATCCATCGAGTAAGCATAAGGCCATTGGCCCGGAGATGTTGAGGGCTTACGCCTCGCACAGTACCACACCCCTCAGTTGCCACCCTGCTCGAGCTTGTCAGGACTATCTCCACTGCCACGCGTCAACCCATGATCATATGATTGCCCTCATCGCCCCACTCGTTGAAACCCTTAGGGCTTAGGGATTGTAGGGCTAAGGGTTTGGGGTTAAGGGTGAACGGTTCGGGGTTAAGGGTTTAGGGTTTATGGGTCTGGCTTAGGGTTTAGAGCTTCTGAGCCGGCGGAGTCTTGGGAAGTTGCATAGGGCTGAGGCGTTTCAAGTTTGCGGCTTTCAGGTTTAGGGCTTGCGGCTTTTGGGGGTTTCAGGGCGTCAAGCTCACAGATTTGGGTTTTGGGGGAAGTACAGCCGAAACCCTTAATCGAAAGCCCCCAAAACACCCAAAGCTCTCTTTGAGTCAACGGGATCTCCATCGTTTCGTTGCTGCAACTCGGGCGCCCTAGGTTTTGGGGGACAGCACATGCTTAGCTTCCCGCAAATACGAGTGCCTTAATTAATTTTAATACCTGACCCCAAAGCCTTAAACCTGAACTCTAAAGCCCCAATTGCCTAAATTGCCTAAAGTCAAGAAGCCCTCAAAACCCTCTATGTGGAAAAGGCCCCCAACTCCTACAGGCCCTTCACCCTCAACCCCCTGAACCCTAAGGGCCCTTAACCCTAAGTCTCTTCATCCCTGAGCCCCTAAGCCCAAACCCTAGACCCTAAGCCCCCTAACCCGAACCTAACCCCAAAGCCTCGAAGGGACCTACGCCCTGTCAGGGCTGCAGGTGGGGGGAGCTCCGGGTGTCTGGAATTCTCAGCGCTCCTGTAAGGGTACCGGCTTCGGGCTTTGGATTTATACAGGCCTGGGGGCTTAAAGACTAAAGTTTCAGGTTTAGGGTTAAGGGTTTAGGAATATCATCCAAAGCCCGAAACCCTCAACCCGACATGCACATGAGCTCTGTGGGTGGCACGGCCGTCGCATCACTCAAGGCGCAAAGTGAATTACGAAGCACCGGTTGCTGCGAAGAGTCGGCGGTATGTTGACGGTCTAGGGAAATCATCATCAGTCTTGCTGGGTTTGAAAGAGTATGTTTTAAGGTTCATAGGGTTTAGGGTTTAGGGCCAAAAGTTTAGGGTTTAGGGTTTCCTAAACCCATCTGCCAGACTGGGGCGGCCGCATCCTGGCACTTCTGGTCTGGCTGCGACGGGCTACGAGTGAAACTGGGCGCTCGAGATCTACCCTCAACCCCGACCCAAACCTCGAGAGGTGGATCATAACATCGTACCATAACTGTAACAAGAAGTATACAGGCTTAATACAAGAGCCACCCCGCACATGGTATCTATAGTCTCCATTAGTCTCCTACATTGAAGGGCCAAAACAGTCCCTTTCTCGCTTCCGCCTCGCACAAGACAGCGTTGTCTTGAGAAGCCGCTATGATGCAGAAATGACTCGCCAGGAACGCGACTTGGCAGAGCTGGCGTAAAAGGGCTTTTAGGGTTAAGTTTACAAGGCGAGAGCGATGCGGAAGCCGGTGGTGTCGAGATTTTTGGCCGTGTAGTCCCTCAGCAGAAGCTGCAATCGGATTCTCAACGAGACCGACTTTCCAGAGCTTCTGGCGCGAAACTTCTTTTGGGCCCAGGGAGAAACCTTGTGTGGGAAAGACCTGGGGGCGTGGGCCTTGCCCCAAGATCAGATCGGGACCTGAATATTTCGACAGTGGTTTAAGAAATTGACACTGCATGGTTCAGTGTTGGCCTACGGCTTCTGGGTACTTCATCATTACATATACTGACAGACTGATATGCTAGTACCATTAGAATAGTACTATAATAGTATTTTATATTATATTATGATGCTGTTACTAGATTCAGGCCCTGGCGGCCACTATTGGTGCATCGCTGAACGGAGTAACGAAAACAAACGAACCTGTTCTTTTATGCTACTCCCTGTGCTTCGCAGCATCGACTGATGCACCAAAGTGCTGGCCTCAAAAATACAACTCGACGACAACATGGTTGAACTTCCGAACATCTCCGAGTGCCTCTCACAGCAAAGCGGGGCTCGAAATTGCAAGCTGCAAACACTCCGTGGCCGCCTGGCCTTTCTGCCCTCGTCCCCGATCTCGTTGAATCGGAGGTCGATGTAGGTGACGGAGTGATTGGACTTCAGTGCATCTGCGAGTGCCTCTCAGGGGAAACACGGAGTCGAAACTGCAAGCTGCAAAGACCCCGTGGGCACCGCCTGGCCTTGGCGCCATGGGCCCCGATCCTGTTGCCATAGAGGTTGACGTGGGTGACCGTACAGTTGGACTTGAAGGCATCTGCGAGCGCCTCTCAGAAAAAAGCCGGGGTCGAAATTGCAGGCTGCAAAGACTCTTTGGGGTTTGCCTGGCCTTGGCGCCTTCGTCTCCGATGTCGTTGTAATCGAGGTTGACGTGAGTGACCGTACCGTTGGACTTTAAGGTATCTGCCAGTGCCTCTCAGGGAAAGGCGGGGTCGAAATTGCAAGCAGCGAAGACCCGGTGGGAACCGCCTGGCCTTGGCACCCTGGTCTCCGATGTAGTTGTGTTCGAGGTTGATGTGGATGACGGTGCGATTGGAGTTCAGGGCATGTGCGAGTGCCTCCCAGGGGAACCGCGGGGTCGAAATTGCAAGCTTCCGAAGACCCCGGTGGGCACCGCCTGGCCTTGGCACCCTCGTCCCCGAACCAGTTGCCACGGAGGTAGACGTGGGTGACTGTACAGTTGGCCTTCAAGGCATCTGCCAGCGCCTCTCAGGGGAACCGCGGGGTCGAAATTGCAAGCTGCGAAGACCCCGGGGGCACCGTCTGGCCTTGACACCCTCGTCCCCGATAATGTTGCCATAGAGGTTGACGTGGGTGACCGTACAGT